CTGTGTTTGGCTGATTTTCTGTAATACTTGAGGTATTATTGCTGGGGGCAGAAACGCGTACGCATTGAGGCCTTCCCATGATATGCTTAGAGCGTCCGTTGCCCATGCTTGTGGGTCTGGAACTGGTGACACGAATGTCGGTAGTTGATTGTTGAATCTTGTGGCGAATAGATCTACTAGCGGCGCTCCTATTTGCTTGATTATCTGTGCAAATATCTCTGTATTGAGCATCCATTCTGTCGGCGACGGTAGATGTGGCAGAGAGAGTGCGTCTGCTAGTATATTCCTGGCTCCGGGAATGTGGCATGCTTTGACATGTAGATTTAGATCTTGGATTAATTCGAACAGTTGAAAGGTTCGGCGATCTCGTTGAGCCTTGCCTGTTCACATAGAACGCCACTGTCGAGTTGTCGGTATGTATCATCAGGTGCGCATTCTGTAGAATGTTGCTCCAATGTCTTATGGCGTTGATTACAGCTTTCATCTCTAATGAGTTTATGTGGAGCTTGCTTTCTAGCTGATTCCATAACCCTGATGCCGTCTGGTTGGTGAGATGAGCTCCCCAACCTTGGAGCGACGCGTCTACATATAGATGGGTTTTGAATTCCTGCTCTGCTAAACAGATCCCTTCGCAGACATTCGATTTCTTGGTCCACCATAGTAGATGAGGTCTGAGATGTTCCGGTAGACTGAATGGTTGTAGGTCGTCGAGATGTGTGTTGATGAAGACCTGTAAGGGACGTAACTGTAATCTGCCTATGACTGTCAAGTCTTGGGCTGATGTTAGAAGACCTAGTAAACTCGAAGTGGTAGCGGAGAGAGTAGGGCTGGAGGAATGATCTGTTGGATCTTGAGCCAACGGTCTTCTGGTACGACTATACGGTTGAGATTGGTGATAAATCGAATGCCTAGGAATTGTAGATCTTGCGATGGTACTAGGTCCGACTTGTGTAAGTTTACTAACCATCCCAGCTGTGTTAGTAGCTTTATGATGTAGTTTAACTGTAGTTTGAGATGCTGTGGATCTTGATCTACTTGTATCCCGTCGTCGAGGAAGAACGCACTGCGTAGCCCTTGACGATGTAGATAGGTGACAATCGGTTTCGTTATCCTCGTGAATAACCATGGGGCTGATGTTATTCCGAATGGGAGTACTTTCCACTGGTAATGTAACCCGTCTAGAGTAAACCGTAGGTATTTCCTGGATTCGGGATGTATAGGGATGTGCAGATAGGCATCTTGTAGATCTATACTGCCCATGTAGTCCATGGGACGAATCATGTGCTGTAACTGCCGTAGATGTATCATGTGGAATTTCGGTGGTCTGCGTAGATAAGTCTTGTTGAAGAAGCTCATGTTGTAAATGAGTCTGTATTTCTCCTTGGAGTTTTTCTTGGGTACTAGGAAAACTGGGGAGTAGAAACCTGGTTCGATGTTTCCTTGATCTATTACTTCTATGGCCTGCTTGGTTAGGAGTAATGTAACAGCCTCTCTTAACTTTAGTAGTTGCTGTGCCTGTACCTCGAACTTGTGAGGGTTGACTGTTAGTGGAGGCTTGGCCTGTAGTGGGATACGAAATCCGCGTTGAAGAATGTTGGAGACATAGGTGTCTTGAAGTATTCCCCAGTTTTCCCAGTGTAGTTGGAGGCGTCCACCCACTTGTGGCGGTTGTACTGGAGCGGCTGGGGTGGAAGACTCCAGTCGTTCGAACCTGTCTTTCAGCGTTTATAGTTGCGGGAACCTCTGGGTGTCCTGCCTCTTCCTGACCCTCCTCTATAGTTGCCATATGGGCTTGAAAAGAATCTCTTCCCCTGGAACTGGCTATCTTCCTGTCTCTTGCTCTTTGTAGGCCCGTGAATTTAGATCTCCTGAGTATCTTTGTGAAGTCTGTCGAATGACACTGGCTAGCGTGTCCATCGATTTAATCATCAGGACTTCTCTGGAATCCTTGGTGACTTCCTTGGAGACTTTGTCTATTCCTCCGTCAAAGATGGATGGGGAAGACCACGGGCTGTATATAGTGGAGCTGTAAAGTTCTCACCCCAGTTGCAGGAAGCGAGGAGGCCTTGACGACGAGCTAAGGTCAGTGCTGCTGAGACAGGCGTGAGATGATCTGTTAAGAACTGCTGGTCCTTCTTTTGCATCAGTAGGGCCGAGTAAATCATTCTATCATCTTCAGAGGTAGGTGTTCACGAAATCTGGTGATAAGTGTCTCATTTATTGTTCTAGATCTATTTAGACCAAAGAACATACGCCTCGTCATGGTTTCTATCTGAACCAATTTTCGGTCATCAATCTTGTAGGACTTGTTCTTGGCATCGGAGATCAGCTTGTAGTTCTCATCGATGTCTTGCGCCTTGAAGAAGGGGTCCATATTATGCGTGGAGAACTTCTTGGCGTGAAAGTTTGGCAGATGTGGTGTTTGAACCTTCGTGGCTTTGTTGAATGCTGTATCTAGGTTCTGTGGTACCGCCGCTAATCGGTCGATTGGGGTAGTGTAATAGCATCTGCATCGTCTTCTTTCATCAGATAAGTCTGCGCCGAATTGCCACTCTTGGAAGGTGATGAGAGATCTAGATTATTGACCATCCAATATCTTATCTCTGCATCTGAGAAAATAATTCCTCCATCATCTTCCATTCCATCATCATAAATGAGAGGTTGTTGCTCTTCTGATGTAGGACTGTGTGGCTCTATCTCTATATCGTTTGACGCTTGTGGAGATCTAGTTGTAGGCTTATGTGCAGACCTGTGAGGTGATCAACGTGGTGATGTACGTGGAGATCGGCGTGGTGATCGGCGAGGCGATCGTCTTGGTGATCTACATCGATAGGTTGATCTTCTTGGCGACCTATGAGGGGACCGTTGGTAGCTTCGCGAAGCTCTTGTGTAGACCCTCGATGTCCTTTTAGATGATGATGACGATCTGGGATCAGGTGTCCTTCGCGAACGCCTTCGCGAAGCTTCCTCTGCGTCCGGTCCTGGGGAACGGTGATATGACCTTCGCGAAGGCTTCCGTGAGGTCTGATGATCAGATTCCGTATCTGAGTATGACGTCGAAGAGGGTGATGATCTGGGTCCTTCGTGGAGGTGGTCTGTGACTTCCTTCGCGAAGGCGGCATCGTCGTGGCTGCTACGTTGACTGGGGGTGCCTCTGGGGTGCTGTCTACGTTGGAGGCTCGGACCCTGGGATGGCTGCTTCTCCAGTCTGTAGTGGCCTTCCATCATGATCATGATCTGCGGCGTAGTAGATGGTGCCCTCTCTCGCTGATAGTAGTGGGGCCCCTCTGATAGCGATGGGGCCCTCGTCTGACATCAGTGTAGAGGCATCAGGCTGCATGGTGATCTCTGCTGAAGTCGCTGTCGCTGTCACTGGTCGCTTCTTGTGGCGTATGTCGGGTATGATGATTGGTTGATCATCGTAGAGGCCCAATTCTGCTGCTGGAGCGATCTCTGCTGAAAGTTCTCGATGACTTAAGTGAGATTTCCCTTTGGAGGATGGCGCTGCCCTGGGGTTACGAAGTCTGCGTTGAGAAGAGCGTTGAGGCCCTCTTGGACTTTATCTGCGATGGCGGGATGTCTGGGGAGGCGGTCGCTTCTTAGAGGTGACGGACTGCATCCCCGTCCCTCTTCAATGGGGTCTCAAGCAGAACACCAGACGGGAGGGATCGCTTCGACAGCAGCTGACTGGATGGGAAATCGATGTATCGGCCATGTCTACAACTAGTTTGCGTGACCTATCTGCAACACGTCTCAAGGCGCAAAGATGGTATTTATTAAAGGCAGAATTGGTTAAATTAATGCAGTAACTGCAAGCGTGAATCAAACGCACAAAGTAGTACAACTAGGGCATACTACATGCGGATCCGCAGCGCGAAAAGCGTAATCTACAAATAGTACAGTTTTTCATCAACGTAATACTAGCTGAACAATCACAAACTCACGTGAATAAACAGTAGAAATACGATTAATTATCAATGCAAATTAATGAAGGATGCTAGCTATACCTTTATAGTAAACTATAAGAGGTAACTAACTAAGAAAACCAAAGGATATAGTGTGTAAGGAGACACAGGCGTTCTCACATCCTGCTCACTGGGCGAAGAAGGAGAGAGTGAAGCATGAGGCCAGAGGGTGGCGACACCTGTTCCCGCGCTTGCGACAGGGGAGGCAACTCTTGGGTGAGTACCAATTAGTGATTTTACATTGAAGGGAGCTTCAATTAAGGAGATACAAGTGTTCCACTATGTTCGCAAGAGGAAGGGGACAAGCAAAAGAGCATGAGTCAGGATAAGGAAAAATTAGTGTCATATCATTGTTTAGTAAACATAGCTTAATCTTCCTGTCAGGGAGACAATGAAGAATAACCTTGTGTTGCTGTGAGGTACATCAGCTTGTGATGGGTGGCCTCCATTAGTGAGTGAGTTAACTGTTAACATGGCATTGGCATCCAGCCATATAGCGATCCTCCCTTAGTGGGTGTATGGGAAAACAAAGGGACACAATCTTAAATCCTCCTTGATTTCTCCCTTCAGAGCACTAAAATAACATTTTTTGTGTCACTGAAACAGTACTATTCTCAACTGATCTAGAACATTCCAAACCGGGCCCCTCATATGGAGCCTGGGAATCTATTGCCACTGTAATCGAGTTGTCCATGCTGCTATATACCAGAAGATATACGACTAATTCGACAAACTGTGCATCATCCTAAATATTCAGAGACAGTGGTATCTCATTGTTATGTAACTACTATTACATCTCATTATAAACTCCCTGATGGGGTTAAACATCACTTTACTGGTCCTAGTACAGACTTGTAACATACCTGTATAACATCTCCATTACATTTGTTCAAAGACCTTTGTTGCCATAGCGAAAGTCCACATATCACTGGCTGTTAATTTACATCATTTAACGTGTAAACAGCCTTGCTGTGAAAACAGTTTTGTTGCACACCTTGTGCGTCCTGATACTGTATAACTGAGACGATATCTCACCTCTATGAAAGTCCTTTCCTTTATAGATCCCTGACAGTCCACCGATTCTAACACCTCCAACCTGGACGATACCTCCGTAACCTGGAATCACATGTTATTACACAAGCATGAAGCAGATTTTCAGGTAGTGTTGGTGTTAAGTGACAAACATAAGTTGACATCAATATTTTCAGGATATTCACACTATAACTAGATCCATCTTTGCATCATTTTCAAATTAGTAACCAATTCAAATACTTATTCTGACAGTACAAGAACATGGATTTTGAAGATACTTGAATATATTTCCTGAAACACAATGTTCCCCTTCTCACTGATCACATAACACAGATCCAGAAATGTGTTAATTTACATCCTGGGAGTCTGTTGTCCTTGGTTACCAATTAGAGTTATCTGTCCTCATGAGCATGTCCGCCATATTGCTGGAATATTGCTGAGTGCGACATAAAACTAAACTCACTCATGAGCATGAAGCTTTATATCCAGACAGGGAATGGAGAGGTCAAGATAAATAGTGTTTCCCCCAGGCACATTTGGCAGGGCGCAGCGCCCTGCCCTTCTTATTCAGCGCCCTGCCCTTTTTATTTAGCGCCCTGCCCTTTTCATTTAGCGCTGTGCCCTTTTGAATCACCGCATTATCTGTCCTTAGAGTAGCTCCATTCCCGGATGTTTTTGTTGTGCAATAAAACTACCTATTTAAGTCATGGCGATTTCGGCTTTGTTCGTTTTCATTCTGATTCACAATGCCAACCAAAGAAAGAACAAAGAGGAAAAGAGAAGAAGCTGTGAAGGCTGAAGCAAGGAAGTGTAGATCGACTTCGTGGATTTCTTCGTGCCAAACAGAGTGCGACTTGACAATGACTTCGCCATTTTGAACCGATAGCGGCAAAATTAGAAATCATTTCCAGCAATAATCTAGGTTCAGGTGATCTCTTTGTAGCTAATAAAACATGCCCATTCCGTCTCTGTTATGTTTAAGAATCTTTGCTGTAAATACTTTACGTCCATATCTTATTTTATAGTCTTTTGTGAGAAGAAAATAAAAGCGAATGAAACAAAGGGAAGCCATATCGGACATGATCACTTCAGTTTATTCGAAGTTTTTCTTTTTCTTTTTCCTTTCAATGCTTGTCTCAAGTATTTAAAACACACTTTCGGTGATTGTTATCCTCTCTAATATTACGATTGTGAATAGATTCTAATATGGTTGTTTTTACTTTTAATTTCTCCTAGTTCAGTCGACCTGCTGGCTCTGAAAGAAATCTTTCGGAAGCATGTATTTCTCATTTCGATTTTCTAGATAGACACAAAACCCTCTTGTTTGCTATAGTTAATATTTGCACTGGGTATATCTGTTGAAATTTTATTTACTCTTTGTAAATGTACGAATTAGTGCAAGTAATTATTCCACCTGAAATAGACACAGGAATTGAAGCCACATCAAACATGTCTATTTCTGAGCATTATCTAAGTTTATTTTTTGCACTGCATACATGTAGTTTTTCATATTCTAAAATATCGGTAGAAATACTAAATTAATTTTTCTATATATACTTAATTTTAAGTTAGTAGATTTTGTGGTGGATAAGGTGTCTGCAATGAACAAAGACAATTTTTATCTGTCTCCATATCTAGTCTTAAAGATTTTCAAACTTAAAAATAATTGTTCCAAACTTTTGTGTATATTTATCTGATATTTTACGCTAATTTATCCTCAACTGAAATGTAATAAAAGTGTGAACTGTTTTTTTCTGTGTGTGAAAAAGTACTTTCATTAGTACAAGGTATTTTTACTATTCTTATTTTCTTAATATTCAAAGGCTGTTTTCTTATTACCAAATTACAAAATACAAGAAATTTTGTCTGGAAATAAACTGATTTGTATGTGTATTTCAGACCTGATGTAGAAGATTCAGAACTTGTTTGCTATGACATTGACAAGTGGATGTCATCCAGAGGTCCAGCTCCTTAAACAACTCAGAAGAAGAAAGATGCAGGTCACAAGCTTGTCTTCGATACCAAATGGAAACAAGGTCGCCCCTGGCTAAAAATACATTGAGGATGCAAAGCGAGGAGGGTGAAACAAGCTCCATGATGTCTTCTTCTCTTTGCACTAAGTGGAATATGAAAGGGACGAAATGGATCCATGGTTTGGACACAAGTTGGATGTCACATTTTCATATATTGACATACTATTCAAGTTTTGCCGATTACAGAACTGGCAGAGCACTTTGGCCTGGCTGTTGATAAAACACAGCTTGAGTGGAGTCAGGTCAAGGAACTCTTTGCTGACGAAGTTGACACCTGTTCACCATCCAGTATCCCGAAGACTCTGACAAGCCTCAAGCCCCAACTGGGAGACCTCTACCCAAACATTGTGAAGCTCCTGAGTATCCATGCTACTGTGATCCTTTCGACATCAGAGGTTGAGAGAGTCTTCTCCAGGGTGAAACTCATTGTGACAGACCATAGGAACAGGCTGAAAGTAAATAACTGCACCAAGCAACTTATGGTCAGCATGAATGCTAAGTCTTCTACTGACATTGACTTGAGGAAGTGTGTGGCCAAGTTCTTGGCACGAAAGAAGAAGCGAATATGAATGAATAATTTTATTAACTTGCATCAAAGCATGCCAAACAGACCCAAATGATGTCAGCCACAGTAAATTATTGAACCCTTAAAGAACCACTAAACTTTGTTTTTTGTTACTCTTTTAACCATTACATATGAAAGATTTGTGGTTAGTCTTATGCGGAACACCAAATTTATTCTTTAAAAACTTGTGGTTAATTAATACCGAGCGATTAAAAGTGTCCAAAAAGTCGCCTGCTTCCCTCTCGCCCGCCAACGAAACCACAGACAGGTTACGTAACTCTGTCGCCAGAGCACTGCAGTGACGTCATATGAGGAACGATTTTCAGTTAGTTGTATAGAAAATGTGTAGCACGCTCATCATTTTGATGATTTCTCGACATCAACGGACGACATGCGAATCGTTGCTTTGTCGTCAATTGCTCCTAGGGTCGGGCGATGGTGTCCCCATGCACAGATTTCCACAGGACCCGCGGTTCGTGCTAAATGGGTTATGTTTGTGAGTCTTGGCGGCGTTGTGGAAGCCTGAAGCGATATCTTACTTGTGTTCAGATCGGCTTTCACGGAAGTTAAAGAATCAAAACTACTTACTAGTTGTAGTAAAATATGCATATGATTGATGACCATAAAGATTTTCTATGACACAACTTGTAACATAACGATTTCTTCCTCGGAAGTGAGGTTGTGGTGAAGTAACAATAATATTGTAAGTAGTATTATATTGACACCCACCTGCGCTGCCACGAGAGAAATTGTTATGATATACGCTATGTCATGCAAAATCCTATTGGCTATCAATAAAATACATATTTTACTACCAGTAGAAAGTAGTTTTGATTTTATAACTTCGGTGAAAACAAACCTAAATACCATTTATCCTCAGACTGGCGGATGTTCCCGACAGGCCATCATTTTAAAAATAAAAAAAATCTGTTAGAATTAATGAGATTATAGTTTGTTTTCATCAAGTTAGAAAATCAAGACTACTTTCTACTCGTTGTTAAATATGTATTGGAATCATAACCAAGCGGATTTTGCATGACACAACTTATAACATAACGATTTCTTCCACGGAAGGCGAGGTGGGGGTCGAAGTCACAATACTGCGGCGATAAATTTCTTGCTACATTCCCATGGTTAATGTCCACTCACCAGTATGTAGATACTAGTCAGTGTGCGTCTTTATATTTGGTCTTATAATCCTAATTAGTTTATTATCACACTTGTATGCATTTTGAAACTAAATAAAAAGCAGACGATCTACTGATACTTTATAAGTGAATTTATAACAGAACTGTAATATCTAGACATTTTATAGTTTGCCAATGTGAATCATAATTAGCACACACACCTAGTGCATGTTGTCTGTCTCATTACACTTCACGGCGAAAACAATGATTCTGTTGAATGCTACGACAAATGAATAAAAACAAAATGCAAATATTAAAATTAAAACAGATTAAAGTTATAGGAACAATATCAGGCCATTACCTTGTTCGAGGAATGTATCCATCAATATCCACAAAACTGTTCCAAATGATGTGTCTTTTAACAGTTTAATATACGAAAAAGTGATAAATCTTTTCAGGTATTATGGTGTATAGTCTCATTGGTCACCTAAGATAGCACACCTGGCAACTAATTGCATAATGTCCGCCTTTCTTTAAAAACAGTAATTTAGTTAGCCAATAATGGGGCAATCAATCAATGTATTGCCGGTTAATCCTTTGAAAGAAGGGCGTTGTTTTTACGCAGACACCGACACGACAGAGTGTATTCAGTATAGATTAGTAAATCTACATACATAAACACTACCTTTTGACAATTCCGCTGTGTAAGATAAAAGTAATTAATCAATCAGCGTGTTATCGGTTAATCCTTTGATCGATGTTTATAATGTTGAATATTTACTCCAGACACAAGAAATGCCAAATGGGAACCTTTGTCGGGTAATCTAAGTGTGTTACCACTAATTATACCTGTTATAAATTCATTAACTGACCATCAAGTGAATGATGACAAATAACACGGGTTACAACGAGGGAGTATTGATTGCTGTATTGCATGTGAAAACTTATGGGCCGACACTGTTTTGAGAATACAAACAGATTTTTACATGACATGATTAAATATAGAGGTAAAACAACACAGAAATGGGATCAATTTGGATCAGTCATTATACAAATAGGGCCTAACGACACCAATCGATTTTGACAGAATCGTCTATGAAAACAAGTTGTAACTCGGAAACTAGGCAAAGCAGGAGACAAAATTAAATGAAAGTAGATTGTGAGAACATATAGCTTTCATTTTCCACAACAATTGTCACGATTTCAGGTTTATACAAGCCTGTAAACACGATAATTTACCCCCTAAAATGTAGATGAATTCTGCATCGGCTCTCAAAGCTATTCCTCACATGACGTCACAGAGGCGCGCCGCTCTGATTGGTTGAAATTTCGTTCGCGGGTGAGAATTGTGCACTGTTGTCAAAAAGGTCGATTTAAGTCAATTAAAGGTCGAAATGAGTAGTTTTAATGACGGGGTTTCATTTATAACGATGCCAGTTACTGATTTATGTATTTGTACCCCCTAGGGTTTATGTGACCTTTAATTGTTGTGCCTTTTTTGTTTGCTGAATGCCCTTTTGAATTTTAAAGTGCCCTTTTTTCTCTGAGTCTACCCTGCCCTTTCATAATCCTGGGGGAAACACTAATAAATGTACTAATATCATGAATATTCAAATTCATGTAATTACTTATTATCCTGACACAACAAATTACCATGACTACAATGCATATCGAGGTGGGATCTGCATCTTATTGGTTTTGGTAACTAGCACTGGATTTACATCAGGAATAGACTATGCTCAGTGAGCATTCTCCCCAAATCTGTACCCCTTGTCTTATCATTACTGTAACCATGGTAACTTACAACACTATGCATTCTGCTCAAGTACCTGAATGGCTATCCATGTCTTGAAGATTGAACTTAAGGTTGCTGCAAATACTAATAAGCACCCACCATCCCCACAAAATATTCATTGTGTTGCTATGTGATAGAAGCGAGACATCTGACCAGCAGCTCATGGTGATGCTCAGAGATCAGAGGTTCCAGCTGTAGTGAATAACAGCAAGATCCCAGCAATCCTGTAAACTATTTATTGTGATGCTATGTGACAACATGAGACATAACTGACAAACTCTGCCCAGTAGCTTGTAATGACCCTCAGAAGATCAGAAATTCCAGCTGAAGCAAGTAAAGGTGAGACCCTACCAATCCAACAGAATATCTGTTGTGACTATAGGGAACTACACACACTGATCAGTGGCCTGTGGCTACACTCTGAGCTTAATGCAAGACTAGTGCTGTTGGTGGAAGTGTTAAATCATACTGTGTATCAGCAAGAGCATGTCAGTCTCTCAAGACTGTAGGTGAGGCATCCTTACCTGCCCAGAGTAAAGTAGTACAAGAATGAGTACATCTGTGATACATGATGCAGTAGGAACAGTCATCAACTGATCCAATCTAGCCATAACTGGTACATCCTCCACAGAGATATCCCTTAGATAATATTTGGTCAAACTTCTGTCTGCAGACTTATCACTTCCAAATACTGACTCAGCGCACAAACTGGACTTAATTTCAAGTCATCAGTGTCATTATGCCCCAGTACTAACAACAGCAATGATATTGTGACACTTTGATCTGTTTTCCCTTGCTGTTGGTGTTTGCTGACCTGATCCCATAAGGTCCAAATGAACTTTGGCATCTGGTCATCTGTCCAAGTTTATCGGGATTACATCTATCTGTCTGCTTGCCATACACTCAAATCATGTTATATAAATAAGTGAAAATTGAAAAAGGTCAGTTCATTGACAGCTGCCTTGGAGTATATAGGCTAGCACATAGGAGACATCTCACCACAAACCAACTGGCAATAGTAAAACATATACCCTGGGAGGATTTTAATGTAACATAGAAGAAAACATCTCCTAATTGTATGACTCAGTACATAGGAATGAACATTTGTTGGTCAAAATCAAAGTGACATGTGACTCTGATTGTGCTGATTACTGCTACTATCTCCTGTATCTAGACATATGCTTCTAGAACTCACCCATGTAGTAAATGTTTGGAGCCACCCATCCCGTCACGGCAGTTCCTGGAGGTAGTTTGATGCTTCGTGGTTACCTCCAATGAAGATGGTCAGGACTGGGGCCACCTTCTCTCCAGAATAGTACCTGCAAAGTAGGCATGGCATAAAGTTTTACCTGTGCCACTTCAAGTCTCCAAAACAACTACAATAGACAGAAGCAGCCCCATCCTCACATTTTACACAAAACTGTTTGCTCCCAAACTTCCAATCATCAGATAACATCAGTTCAGATCTGATCGCCTCAACAATATTTGTCAATTTTCACCAATGATTCTCGATGTTGTCTAGTGTTGTGCTAAACTTCAATCTATGTTGAACACGAGCTACATGCACTTTGGGTTAAAATGATAGCTTTTGAAGTATATATACGCTATGCTTAACAGGAGAATGTTCTATACCTAAGTACTGTAACAGTATGAATGAAAGTCTATTGCTGATCAACTGATCCAAATACACCTTGTTGTCTCTTACAAACCCAGGTTACTAATAATCTTTATTCTTAATGGAGTCTCCACACATTCTTCCCAACCCCAGTTTGTAACAAATCACCTGTGAAGGTCCAAGTTAGAATTGATCTGCAGTAACCCATGCTTGTCGCAAGAGGCGACTATTGGGATCGGGTGGTCAGGCTTGCTGACTGGGTTGACACATGTCATCGTATCCCAATTGCGTAGATCGAGGTTCATGCTGTTGATCACTGGATTGTCTGATCCAGACTCTATTATTACAGACCGCCGCCATATAGCTGAAACATTGCTGAGTGCGGCTTAAAACTAAACTCACTCATTGTAACAAATCAAGCACAATGGAGTACTTGGAAAAACATATACATAGAGGATAAAAACCCAACATTTATCATGATAATACTATCTGCTTACTTGTAAAAGGTATTGAGTCGCTGATATTTTGGAGGAACGGCCATACAGGGAAGGTCTGCCCTATTGCGAACAGCCTGGAAGTCCCCACATATAAGAAGCAGATCAACAGTTATGTTGTTCTTTTTTTCAAGATGCTGGATGGTTTCATAGATCTTGTCAAGTTCACCATGGCAACAGCCCTCCACTGCAATTTTCATTTTAAGTTTTGCAAGATTCCAAACTTGTCACTGCTGAAATGTGATAAATATCTACTGTAAAGACATGTAATGGAGTCAAAGGTCGATAGGCATTCAGTGCACACGTAGGCCTACAGGGAACAAGCCACTCTTTGAAGCATCAATACCTTCGACTTTTTTAAGTTCGAGACAACTTACACACAAAAATCAAGAAGTTATGTTTATCGTGCACTTGGTACTGTTAACGATGCTACGTTTACAGTTAAAATAAAAAGAACATTCTGGCATGGGATATTTGTGATAATTTCTAAAACAGAAAAACAAAAGGTTCATATTTGATCTAAAACGAAAGAACATACATTTTCAAAATCTTGAAGCCATGCCGCACCGGATATAAGCGCAAATGCGGGTTTTAGCGACATTAAGTTTACAATTTGAGAATGATAAAGAAAACCTATTACCTATTCATAACTCATTGCAAATAATGTAAGCTATGAAATAACATATTTTTATAAGCAAGAAAAAACCAATATTGCTTTTATTTTTGTTTGCGACAATCGCAAATTGGATCTTCCAAAAGGGATCAACAAGAGAGAAGACAGAGCGACAACATCGAAAATGATCCCTTCGAACATGGTAGATATTATCTGATATTTAAAAAAACTACCCATTATGTGTACAGTGGGCGGTCGTTCTGTCTTTCCCTTGCTTAAAATAACTTTAATGACCTGCTACATTTCATTTTCTACCAACAACCTGACAACCGCGAGCAGCTCTATCGATCCCAGGAAGGCCTTGATAAAGTAATGAGCTGTTTACAAACTATCCGATGGAGAAGAATGACGGTCTGCCTTCTCTATGTATCTGTTTTAATAAAAACAGATAGAATTTCCAATTCTACGCCGAGACGAATAACAATGCGTTCATTTTTAAGTTCCAGGACTTATTATATTCAAGCTCTCAGCAGTCAATGTCGTCTAGTTATATGCTGGACTATCACTGAGTCAGCAGTAACGGTGCTATGCTTTCCACAAAATTTGACAACTATGGTATTATATTTGATATGTTTAAGGTTTTGCTGTGGAAATCTTGTCCTAACATTTTGTTTACTGTATCTGAGCTACTAAGAAACAGAAGATTGCGATTGAAAGATTTTTCTAAAGCAGTGCCAAATCAGAAAGCTCTACATTCTAATTCCCTGTAGGCACTGTAATAATATTTTGAAATAAGAGAAACCTGTCTATAGAATGGAGAAACCCACTGTTGACCAAATAGGCCAGTTTATTTCACTGGTGGAATGACATTACCATATTTATCTCACCCCAAAACTATGTCCTCAGCCACCTATTAATAAAAAGCTATATGTGAGAAAAAGACTGATTTTTCAAATTTTAAGTTATGTATTATGATTGTGTATTATGATCAATAATCAAGTGTAATCATAAACCCTTCAACAAAACTCTTGTGTGCAATAGTGGAGCACAATCATAACATTGTGCAAATGAAGGAGGCACCGATTAATACCTCTATGAAGACAATCAAGGATACTAATGTTGAGACACGTATGCAAGTATGTTGTTTATGTAGTGACTATAAAATGGCCATGTCCCATAATGGGATTCGAACCACAGACCTTCTGATCTGAAGTCGGACCCTTGTCCACATGACCAAAGAGGTTAAACCCAGGACCAAGCTGACAAGGTTAGGATGTCATCTTGGGGATGACTCCACGCCCTCATACGTTTACAATGCAGTTTTACGAGTCAGTTGTTTATGTCTTGTTTAACAAACATAACAATAAAAACATACTTTCTAAAGTTTAATTTGATGCTTTATTTTTTATGAATATTGATTAGTCTCCCGAGCATATTGACGATCACTGATGCAAGTGAGATCAACCAATTATTCGTTCAATCGCTCCAATATACATACCTTTGATATGTTTAACATTAATATTCTCAGAAGCAAAAGTTATGGTGACTTGGAACATTTTCATTGGTAATCTTGTGGTAGAGATACAGTGTGTTAAAATTGTTGAAAAATGCAATTGAACAGTTGTGTTTGAATAATCATAATAAGAGATAATCATAATAATATGCGAAATTTGTATAGCACCCTATATGGCTTAACATAAAACCACTCTAAGGCGCTTAACAGTGTTCAAGGGTGAGGGTCTATTGCCGAGGGGTATAAGCATTTTTATGCAGATGGGTTTTGACGCCCTTTTTGAAACAGTTGTATGAATCAGAGTTTCTGATTGTGGCTGGTAGAGTTGCTGCTAACTTGCTAAGCATCTGTCACCATATTTCACTGTTCCTGTTTTTGGTGGGGTAGCCTTATGGTTAAAGTGTCCGCTTGTCACGCTGAAGACCCAGGTTCGATTCCCCACATGGGCACAATGTGTGAAGCCCATTTCTGGTTTCCCCTGCCGTGATATTGCTGGAATTTTGCTAAAAGTGGCGTAAAACCCAACTCACCCTTGTTTTTGGTACTGTGATGAGTGAAGCTGTTTGGGACCGGAGTGATTGTGTCGGTCGGTATGGGGTTGTGAGCTCCTGGAGGTAACACAGAGCTGTGCCATACAGCGCCTTGTATGCATACGTGAGTAACTTGTGCTGACATCGGAGATGCACACACAACCAATGTAAGTCCATCAGAATTGGAGTGATGTGGTCTCGCTACTTGAGGGACCTTGTTATCAGTCGAGCCGCATTGTTCTGTACTCTCTGAAGATGAGACATGACAGACTGGGGCAGTCCACACAGCAGGGCGTTTCTGTAGTCCAGACGAGATTTTACAAGGGATTGCACCAATATTTTTCAGCAGTCCTCTGTTATGTATGGTCTGATGGCTCCAAGGTTCCTGATTTGGTAGAAACAGGATTTACTGATGGCATTTACCTGCTTTTCCATTGAGAGAGTGTTCTCGAAGTGGACTCCAAGATCTTTGACAGAGTCTGCAGCTTGGATTGTGCTGGTTCCAACTTTCAGTTCAATGTCCTGAGTAGCCTGTGAATGACTGTTGGGATTGAAAACCATCATTTCAGTCTTTTCTTTGTTGATCTTCAACATATTGGAGTTGGTCCAGTTGGTGATGTCAGTCATACATGCTTCCAGGGTTTTGGTGGCAGAAATCCAATCAGTGGATCGATGGACGACTTTGTACACCTGCTTGTCATCTGCATAAACATGGTATGGAAGGTCGTGTGCCCGGCATATTTCACTCATAGGCTTGGAATAGAGGCAGTAAAGAACTGGTCCAAGGACTGAACCTTGTGGCACACCGTATTCAAGACACTTGTCAATCGACAAAGCTGGTCCTATTGCTACTTGTTGGGTGAGACCACACACGTAGGATCTGAACCAAGCGAGGACCCTGTCTGATGCTCCATACGTGAAGTGGAGGCTCTTAAACAGTATGTCATGGTCGATGAGGTCGAATGCAGCAGACTGGTCTACAACATCAACAGGATAACACCAAACCAGAAAAATAAAAACCCAAGAAAAAACACCAAACCAGATGCTGCTCAAGTTGTACAACCGTATCTTAATCAGAACAATGTTAATGTGTTACCCTGGCCCACAAGAAGATCGAATCCAGGAACTTTGCCCACAGGAAATTTGCCCACAACAATTTTTACAGGGGAGGAACTTTGCCCACAATATAAATTTTAATATTCACCCACCTTAGTACCCTACTCAGGATGTGTTGTTTATATCATGTTGTATTATTATTGTGGTTAAAGTTCCTCCCCTGTAAAAATTGTTCTGGGCAAAGTTCCTATGGGGAAGGTTCCTTGTGGGCAAAGTTCCTGTGGGCAAAGTTCCGTTAACCCACAAGATCACCTGATTTGTCATATAGTCTATAATGAAATGGAGCAACGTTTATGACATCATCTGAATGCTTGGTTTTGGAATGATCCTTCACTGGACTTTCTTCCAAATCTGCCAACAATGCTTCGGTAACTCAGCAAAATCCTTCCTTGGAATATGGAATGATCTTCTCCTGAGGCTTTCATGGCTTCATTGAGATGAAGGTGCAGGCACTCGTGAACCCCCTCTGTTCTAGCTCTTTTACATATGCCAGGGTTGCTTTTCTTTTGGATGGGAGTGTCTCCGGTGATTTTCAAATTTGAATACTTTGATTCAGTACCCCCCTCATCAAATCCCACAGCAGAATGGACACAGTTGTTTCTGTGCTGGTTAGATAAAAATTCTTACAAACAAAAATGGTCGGGATGTTTATGCAAAATGGAAATCACTGCCTGTTGTTTAATGCATGCTGATTTTGTCTCCAACCATACATGTAATAGAATGAACCATTAAAACATTATACAGATCAGGGCTGTGAAGAAATATTGTCTTTTGCGTGTGTGGCCGCTTGTACCTGTCCTGATGTCTCGTGGTTTTATTGTATAGAGCTAGCCTTCTGTGATACCATGCCATGGTTCATTGTGGACAACTCACTCAGACACATTTATCAATGTCAAGTCATTATGTAAGGGCCTGATCATAGGCCCAGGTTTGGAGCAAAACATTTCTCCAAAACGTTCCCAAATGAAGTCAGTACAGTTGTGACTGACATCATCATTTTACATTGATGACTTGCATGTTACTGATGTAAGAACCATTCTGGAGAAAAGGGGTTTAAGATTCTTATTCTCTTTCATAGAGGCTTGGCCTCCGTCAGGTCTAGCCTTGAAGCACGCACACTTCCTGCAGCAGTTGCAGACACAATTCGGGATTCGAGGCAGGATTCAACAAACATTCAGTACGAGGATAGGTGGGCCCACTATGCGCAGATCCCTTTTCTGCGGATTTAGTCCGAGTTTTGGAGTTTCTGCAGTCTCGTTTGGAAGAAGGTTTGGTGGCTTCGACCATTCATGGCTAGTCCACCGCTATTTCCACCTTTCACACCCCTGTTGATGGTGCTCTTCTGGGGCAGCACCCTCTTATGCAGCGCTTCCTAGCTGGTGTGGATCGGGTTCGACCTGCTCTCAGGCGTACCAGCCCACCTTGGGATTTGTTAATCGTGGCTGTCCGGTCCTACTTCCTCACGTCTATTGGCTATTTCCATTCAGCTGTTAACATGGAAGGCTGTTTTTTGGTGGCGGTGACATCTGGGAGAAGGGTTGGTGATTTACATGTCATGTCTGCAGGCCCGGTGCTGATTGTGTTCCATCCAGATCACGTCAGTATTCGCCTCCCGGATAGTTACCGTCCGAAGATCGATCACGCTTTCCATGTTACAGCTCCTATTGAACTTCCTACTCTAACCCAGCCTTCCACATCGGGGACATCTGCAACGAGCACTCACCCGTTGGACGTCCGTAAGACCCTCAAGGTCTATATCAAACGAACACAAGGGATCTGTACGGGTACCCATCTCTTCTGCTGTTACGGGGGCGGGAAAGCTGGGGCTCCTGCTAGCAAACAGACACTTTCTCGCTGGCTTGTGTCGGTCATCTGTGCTGTATATCAGGCTAAGGGCAAGCCTCCCCCTGAGGGGTTGAAGGGTCACTCGGTCAGGGCAGTTGCCACTTCAAAAGCGTTTGCAGCGGCACTGCCCATCGAAGAGATTTGCTCTGTCACTATTTGCAGCCGGCCTAGCACTTTCATACGGCACTATCAGCTGGATACACTTTCCCGTGATTGGGCACGCTTTAGCCGTACTGTTCTCTCCGGTGGACAGTGTCCTGCCACCCTGACCGAGTGAGTCTTGGTTATTTGGTTTTATAGAGACGCTGTGTTCAATTGTTGTTTAATTGACTTATCCGCTGTTGATTCTTGCCAACTTTCAATTGCTCTCTATAGAGTTTTCACTTAGTGGGCGGGGTTTGTTTACACTCTATACAGTGTGTTGTCATGCGTAACATGTTGAGGTCGGTCCTCAATACGATTTCTCCCTGTCGGGTCACCTCCCATAATGCCTCTCGCGGAAGCTTCGGGGACACGTGACAGGTGAGTGTTATGGCGTGAGTAACTTTTTGTATTTACGTGGTCGCTATTTATATTTGTACTTTGACAGAATTCCCTCCTCTATGGTCTCTGATCTTTGGGAGTCTGTGTTAATGCATATATGTACCCCAAGGACGATCTCTATGAAAAATAATTAGAGGTTTCCAATTCTTTGAAGAGAGTCGTCCTTGGGGTAGGGCCGCCCACCTCCCCACAATTCTGTTCACTGATTTTTTCAGCAGAAGGAATGATGATACAGGCTTAGGTGCTTACCTGGTTGGCTGCGCATGCGTGTCAGGGAGGTAACTCCACGTGGTGGGGGCCGTATAATAAATAAAAAGGCTTTTTTATGTGTTGTACAATTTTTTATTAAAACATTGATACAACTGTCACATGACATTTTCAGCCGCAGAAAATGCATATATGTACCCCAGGGACGACTCTCTTCAAAGAATTGAAAACCTCTACAGGTTTATCTCAATTTTCAGTGCTTCCTATGTCTGGTTATCATTTACCTGGACTGGTAACATTTTTCTGATGTCAGTTGGTTTCTGGGAGAAATGTTTTAAGCAACAGCTGATGAGCTATACAGTCTTTCAGTTAGACAGAAGTGTTCATAATGGTTCACACAGTATAAACCATTTTGTGTAGTGTGTATTTCAAAATGTTAAATAATGGTGGTGTTATTCTTGTTCTGGAATAACCATTGATCAGACACAAAATGTATAGACATCGATGACTTTACTGTCACAGGTTTGACCAAACATCATTGCCTCCTTATTTCTATTATGCCTGATACAATCTGATCATACTATGCCAAAATTATCTCACTGGGTTGTCACATGATTCCAGGCTAAGGCCACTTCAGTAAACAAAAGCACAAATCAGTCTGATAAGAATATGAAAGGTCATAAGCAATAATTTTCAAATAAATCTGACCAGAAATGTAATGTACGCTTGTTTTCTATCGAAATCCTCTTCCTTTCAATGGAAGATATAAACTCCACCAAAACTCTGGTTCTACAGAATTGTGTAGAATTCAGTGTTCAAATTACCAGGAAGTGAAAGAAAGTAAGGATAAATATTATTTTACAAGTGTACTGAAACATTATTGATATTTACAATTTCTAATATTTGATGTTTCAGGAAGTGGATGGAAGTAAAAGTTCAATGGAGATAATATTCTCGGAGGAACACGATCGATGGACCGATGCAGTAAAGTATGTGTCATTTGATGTGTTTGTCTTCTGCCTCAGATTACAATTCTGTTTCAACAGCACTGTCATATAGCTGGAATATTGCTGAGTGCGGCGTAAAACTAAACTCACTTACTTACTCTGTTTCAACAGTAATAGTTAATTTTTAACAAAATATGTCTCATGAAGTAACTAAACTCACTTACTTACTCTGTTTCAACAGTTATAGTTAATTTTTAACAAAATATGTCACATGAAGTAACTAATCTCACTCACTTACTCTGTTTCAACAGTTATAGCTAATTTTTAGCAAAATATGTCTCATGAAGTAGCTAATCTCACTCACTCTGTTTCAACAGTTATAGTTAATTTTTAACAAAATATGTCTCATGAAGTAACAAAGTGTACAATCAATTCATTATTGATTTGTTTCATCATGCTGATAAGAACATTTTCTAACATATGGGGGGTGGCGGGGTAGCCTAGTGGTCATACCCACATAGGTACAATGTGTGAGGCCTATTTCTGGTGTCCCCCGCTGGAATATTGCTAAAAGTGGCGTTAAACCATACTCACTCACTCACTCTAACATATGGCATATATATGATATACCACAGTAACCTATGTGTTAATGTAAAAGGAAGATTTTCACTCAAAAGTACATATGTTGTACTTGATGGAATTCTTACAATACTTAGCACGAGATGTAAATAAATGAACAAAATATACATGTATAATTAATAATATGTCTCAATGTTTTCAGCAATGTCAAGAATCTAGTTATTGGAAACAACAAACAGAAATCAAATGTCATCGGCCATGGAGTTATACCAAGGTGAGTAGGAAACAGTGGAAACTGGTGAGCCTACATGTGCAGACCTATCAATGCTAGTTGTACATATGGTTTATTCTTATGATTCTTATTGGCATATATGGTAGCTTATTATTTCTTCTTATTGCTACACCTGTTATACTAATTAGTCTTGTTGGTACACCTGGTATCATACTAATGGGTCCATTGTTACACCTGGTATGATCCTTATGGGTCTATTCGTACACCTGGTATCATACTAATGGGTCCATTGTTACACCGGGTATCATACTAATGGGTCTATTGTTACACCTGGTATCATACTAATGGGTCTATTGTTACACCTGGTATCATACTAATGGGTCTATTGTTACACCTGGTATCATACTAATGGGTCTATTGTTACACCTGGTATCATACTAATAAGTGTTGATTTTACACCTGGTATCATACTAATGGGTCTATTGTTACACCTGGTATCGTACTGATGGGTCTATTGTTACACCTGGTATCATACTAATGGGTCTATTGTTACACCTGGTATCATACTAATGGGTCTATTGTCACACCTGGTATTATACTAATGAGTGTTGTTGTTCCACCTGGTATCATACTAATGGGTCTATTGTTACACCTGGTATCGTACTGATGGGTCTATTGTTACACCTGGTATCATACTAATGGGTCTACTGTTACACCTGGTATCATACTAATGGGTCTATTGTTACACCTGGTATTATACTAATGAGTGTTGTTCCACCTGGTATCATACTAATGGGTCTATTGTTACACCTGGTATCATACTAATGAGTCCCATTGTTACACCTCGTATTATACCAAGTAGACTTGTTGGTATGCATGGTTTGATTATAAATGGTTTCCTGTTGCAGGCTCCTGCAATGGATGATCAATGAAGCATCTCCAATTGAGCTCCGTACAGAGTGTGCAGTAGTGCTGGGGAGTTTAGCAAAGGGCACTGATGAGAACATTTCAGCTTTGGTGGAGGCTGGGTGTGTCTCTGTTTTGCTGAAAGGTTGTAGCAGAAATACAATACTGTTTATCATGTCTGTCATGTCATATTAACATCTTTAACTGACTTGGGAGCCACTCTAGATTTTCATCAGAAATACCATAAGTTTTATCCAACTAGTTAATCTCTCATCTTAGAATCTCGACCCATGAAGGTCCTGGTTGGAATGAACCTTCAGTAACCCATGCTTGTCGTAAGAAGCGACTAACGGGATCCGGTGGTCAGGCTTGCTGGCTTGGTTGACACATGTCATTGGTTCCCAATCGTGCAGATCGATGCTGATGCTGTTGATCACTGGATTGTCTGGTCCAGACTTGATTATTTACAGACAGCCACCTTATAGCTGGAATATTGCTGAGTGCGGCATAAAACTAAACACACTCACTCACTCACTCTTAGAATCTCATTTTCACTCATCTTGGACGACCTTTCTAGTTGCCGTGACTAACTTTGTGTAACCATGGTTACAGGTCCGACCTGTGTGAGTTTGTCACTTCCATCAGCATGCTTTCTCTGTTACAGGTTTGTCCAACCAGAATCTAAAGTATGTAGAGGCTTGTCTTCGATGCTTGAGAACAATTTTTGTGTGCAATAAAGCTGCCATAGAGCTAGTCTACCAGGTACGTGGAAACAAGACTTTTCATCAATCATAGCCTCTATGGTTTTGAAAACAACAAGCACAAATCCATTTGTGACTAATCTTTGTTCTAAGTTTACAATCAGTGTTGATAGGATTTAATCCAAAATCTGATCTGCTTGTGCCCTCAGGAGGATAAATTTGCAGGGATACAACACAAGTAACTCATGTCCAACTTGCTGTTTTGTGTTGAGTCTGTCTGGTGTTATTTACTGACCTACAGTGTCTAGTACAGTGTCTGGTATGTTGTGTTTCACTATACTGTCTTTAGTGTATGGTATGTTTCACTGACCTATGGTGTCTGGTGTGTAGTGTTGACCTATGGTGTCTGGTATGTAGTGTTGACCTTTAGTGTCTGGTATGTAGTGTTGACCTATAGTGTCTGGTATGTAGTGTTGACCTATGGTGTCTGGTGTGTAGTGTTGACCTATGGTGTCTGGTATGTAGTGTTGACCTATAGTGTCTGGTATGTAGTGTTGACTTATAGTGTCTGGTATGTAGTGTTGACCTATAGCGTCTAGTATGTAGTGTTGACCTATTGTGTCTGGTATGTAGTGTTGACCTATAGCGTCTGGTATGTAGTGTTGACCTATAGTGTCTAGTATGTAGTGTTGACCTATAGTGTCTGGTATGTAGTGTTGACCTATAGTGTCTGGTATGTAGTGTTGACCTATAGTGTCTGGTATGTAGTGTTGACCTATAGTGTCTGGTATGTATTGTTGACCTATAGTGTCTGGTATGTAGTGTTGACCTATAGTGTATAGTATGTAGTGTTGACCTATAGTGTCTGGTATGTAGTGTTGACCTATAGTGTCTGGTATGTAGTGTTGACCTATAGTGTCTGGTATTTAGTGTTGACCTATAGTGTCTAGTATGTATTGTTGACCTATAGTGTCTGGTATGTTTTGTTGACCTATAGTGTCTGGTATGTAGTGTTAACCTATAGTGTCTTCTATGTAGTGTTGACCTATAGTGTCTGGTATGTAGTGTTGACCTATAGTGTCTGGTATGTAGTGTATACCTAGAGTGTCTGGTATGTAGTGTTGACCTATAGTGTCTGGTATGTAGTGTTGACCTATAGTGTCTGGTATGTAGTGCTGACCTATAGTGTCTGGTATGTAGTGTTGACCTATAGTGTCGGGTATGTAGCATTGACCTATGGTGTCTTCTTATTGATGTTTAGGGTCTGGTATGTTTTGTTGACCTATAGTGTATATAGTATCTTGTATGTAGTGTTGACCTATGGTGTCGGGTATGTAGCATTGACCTATGGTGTCTTCTTGTTGATGTATAGGGTCTGGTATGTTTTGTTGACCTATAGTGTCGGGTATGTAGCATTGACCTATGGTGTCTTCTTGTTGATGTATAGGGTCTGGTATGTTTTGTTGACCTATAGTATCTTGTATGTACTGTTGACCTATGGTGTCGGGTATGTAGCATTGACCTATGGTGTCTTCTTGTTGATGTATAGGGTCTGGTATGTTTTGTTGACCTATAGTGTATATAGTATCTTGCATGTAGTGTTGACCTATGGTGTCGGGTATGTAGCATTGACCTATGGTGTCTTCTTGTTGATGTATAGGGTCTGGTATGTTTTGTTGACCTATAGTGTCGGGTATGTAGCATTGACCTATGGTGTCTTCTTGTTGATGTATAGGGTCTGGTATGTTTTGTTGACCTATAGTGTATATAGTATCTTGTATGTACTGTTGACCTATGGTGTCGGGTATGTAGCATTGACCTATGGTGTCTTCTTGTTGACCTATAGTGTCTGGTATGTTTTGTTGACCTATAGTGTATATAGTATCTTGTATGTACTGTTGACCTATGGTGTCGGGTATGTATCATTGACCTATGGTGTCTTCTTGTTGATGTATAGGGTCTGGTATTTTTTGTTGACCTATAGTGGATATAGTATCTTGTATGTAGTGTTGACCTATGGTGTCGGGTATGTAGCATTGACCTATGGTGTCTTCTTGTTGATGTATAGGGTCTGGTATGTTTTGTTGACCTATAGTGTATATAGTATCTTGTATGTACTGTTGACCTATGGTGTCGGGTATGTAGCATTGACCTATGGTGTCTTCTTGTTGACCTATAGTGTCTGGTATGTTTTGTTGACCTATAGTGTATATAGTATCTTGTATGTACTGTTGACCTATGGTGTCGGGTATGTATCATTGACCTATGGTGTCTTCTTGTTGATGTATAGGGTCTGGTATGTTTTGTTGACCTATAGTGGATATAGTATCTTGTATGTAGTGTTGACCTATGGTGTCGGGTATGTAGCATTGACCTATGGTGTCTTCTTGTTGATGTATAGGCTCTGATATGTACTGTTGACCTATGGTGTCGGGAATGTAGCATTGACCTATGGTGTCTTATTGTTGATGTATAGGCTCTGGTATGTACTGTTGACCTATGATGTCGGGAATGTAGCATTGACCTATGGTGTCTTCTTGTTGATGTATAGGGTCTGGTATGTACTGTTGACCTATGGTGTCGGGTATGTAGCATTGACCTATGGTGTCTTATTGTTGATGTATAGGCTCTGGTATGTTTTGTTAACTTTGTATCTGTTTTATTTCAACAGGATGCCACCATAATTCCCCACCTGATCAACATCATCTCCAAGTCTGTCTGTACACAGGAGTGCATCACCACCATCTTTGCTAACTGCTGCAAGGTAATCTTTTGGGGGTGCTCTAGTAACATCTGAATACATGATTACTGTACGAACTGGAGTCTTTATTACACTGATGCTTCCAAGTTAATGTCCCTGTCAATGTCTACACCTATAAGGCACATCCTTCCATACTCTCACACAATGTGTGACATAAGTGTAAACCATTAGCTCTCACCAAGGTTCACTCTCCATCCTCTGATGTCGGGCATCATTACCTCTGCCTCCATAACTGTTGTTATGTCCCTTGTGTTTTCAGAGTACAGTTCATCAGGAGATGCTGTGTAAAAACGGAGCAATAGCAGCTTTGGCCCCTCTCCTCGGCTCAGACATATACAAGGTACATCTTGCATTAGGCTGTTAGGCTGTGTATATTGTCTCGACTCCTATATTGATAAGAAGTTTATGGATTTTTTTATCAGGGGAGATGGGAAGTCCATATATACTTCTTTTGTTTCACCTTGGTTTGATTAATTTTAGTGGCCACTGTTTTTGTTTAAGGTATTATGAGATGTAACAGTGACCCAGGAACTAAGAAAGGATGTTTGTGTTGCAGGTCCAGATGCCAACTCTGAAATGTTTTGCTGTTCTGTGTCACCAGAACGATGCTGTGTCACAGGCTGTTGCTTCAGGTGTGTGAGGGATGCAGTCAGTGCCTCCACTTGTCAATAAACTCATGTTTCACTCAGTTTTCTTAGAATTCTTTATCTTTTGTTCAAACTAGTCCTCCTTTTGTAAACCATTTAGAAATTTATCATCACTGCGATTCAGTTTGACAGTAATGTATGCAGATACAAATCATCAATTATTACCTTCAGCCACCTACAATGGGGACCCAATCCCCAGACTTCTCATCAACCTGCTGGCCAGAGACAAAACATCGGAGATGCAGATGGCGGCTGCCAAGTGTATGACGTACTTGTATCGGGGCAGCGTTATTGAGGCCAGCAACCCTATCATCACACTGAAGGTACACCCTAGTGCTTCATGCAGATGGATGTCATTTTACTAATGTGATGAGGGACTCATTTCTCTATTGGTAGTACACTGGTGTTAATGTATAGTCATTGCCCACATATGGCTGATGAGGGTTTGTCAGGGTGAAGGTCATCTAAGGATTGTGTCACAGTTTGATAATGCCATGACAAATGTAGGTCTTGATGTATATTTGAAATTTGACAAGATGTTTCTTATAATTTCAGACACTTCCAACTTTGGTCCGTATGTGCAAGAAAGATCGTACTTTAGAGGAGAATGTGGAAGGAGCAGAGAACTTGGCGTACCTGATTGAGGTAGACCCGGAGCTCCAGCGGCTGGCATCAATCTCTGATCATGTCATTAAAACACTAGCCGACTACCTCAAGTATGGTGATGTGCAGCAGATCGGCTCTCGCACCCAGAGGAAGGTGAGCACCAGAACATCAGTAAAATGTCCTTGACAGTAGGATGAAAACTTACCTGGTTGGATTCAGATTAGATGTGTGGCAAGTGATATTAGCTTTGATAATGTTAGCTGTGTTCTATGTTGTAGACATGTTGGTCAACCACAGAAACAACAGAGACACCCACTCCCTTTGTCACCTTAATTGTGCTAGGTAGACCGCTTGTGAAAGCATTAGCATAGCACATTGAGGAGTTGATTACCCACATACTGTGAAACCATGCATTAACCCGGTTTTATCAATCATTTGAATGTAAACTATTTTTAAACTTATCCTGTCTCACGTCTTGTACTCTCTCTCTCATGGTCGACAGCAGAATGGAAACGAACTATAAATGAAGTTTTGGCCCTCTCTTGAACCTTTCGCCCGAACACACCCCTACTGCTCCCATTCCTGGACAGCCTGGTAGCCCGAGAAGCATGCAGTACAGTGTACTCTGTCAATACCGGCATCAGTCGGGACCAAATAAAAATGCCGGTTTTGACAGAGTGCCGGTTTAGCTAGGTTCGCTTATGACGCCTGCGCACACGGAAGTTCAGCATTATTAAGATGTTTGAATAAGAAACAAGGCAGTGTCTGAATGCACATTCATGTTGATTCATTCTAATAATAATGTCTGAAAACTCTTATTAAATTTCAACTGATCATATATTATCGGCAGAATTAATATTATAAACTATTTTTCGCAATGTTATTGAAAACAACGATTCTTGTTTATGCTTCGGCAGCGAGTAACATCTCGGCTTTCTCCGCCTCCGTCTTGACGCCCGGACACTATGCTTAATGCAAAATGTATACATGAAGCATTTTGTCTTAGGCCATAACCTAGGGACGATATGCCCAATAAGTTCCATAATTTACACGATAGGTAGCGATGTCTTGCTTAATATGTTCAGAATACATGTAGAATTATTTTACCCAAAACCTTCGCCTAAAAGTTTTCGTTGACGGTATCCATTTCCATAATATGATTGGCTGCTTAGGTCACGGTCTGATTTTGACCAATCACCGACCCTTATAAGCAGACTGTAGTGAAAAGCCGCCGTAAGAAACCAATCTTTATCCAATAAAATCGCTTCTTACAAATGTGAAAATACTCGGCAAGAGTACAGTGATATTGTTGATGTTCAGAGCTTTGAACGATACCGCCATCAAACGATTAGCCTCTATGTAAGTGACACGTGCCACTCACTAATTAACAAGAAACTGATTGGCACTTCCCCGCTTCTGAATAATCTCGAGTCAATACCCGCGAATCAACAAAATGTAAACACTTGCTTGTTTTACAGTCACACTGCCCACTACATGTATTAATTACTCTAGGTAAGTGTTGCACGCACCACTCACTGATTAACTAGATGCTGATTAACACTTCCCGCTTCTGAATAATCTCGGAGTCACAGCTAATTGTGTTGTTACATCATTTGGACCTAATCTCATCAAAGGGTTACGCCGTCTTTCATGTGCCGGTTTTTACAGATTCGTTTTCATAACAACTTTTTCGTTGGGACTGAAAAACAATGCCGATATCCTGAATAGACAGATGCCGATGTTTACAGATGTTTCTAAATGATAATTACGTGCATTTCTGCCGGGACTGAAACTTTGTGCCGATGTAGACAGAGTGCCGGTGTTTACAGAGGCCGGTATTGACAGAGTCCACTGTATGCCCTCTGGTTGATCATGTGACTCCTTTGTTTTGTCATTCTCTTTCTTGTAGCACTGCAGTGCAGACATGCTGTAATTTTAGCTATCAAATATCACCATGGGTAAAGAAGATTCTTTTTCAGAAGAAGTCCTCCTTGGGGTACATATAAGCATTAAAATGTCCATTTTAAATCCTACGACAGTTGTAACTATATTTTTAATAAAATATTTACAAAACAAAAAAAACAACTCGTTTTGTCTTGTGAGACCACCCCTACAGGGCCCCACCGGACCAACACAGCCAAGAGCAGGTAACTCTCGACGTCTACCTCGTACCTCACTTTTCATGCTGTTGTTCTGTTGAATAGACGTGCGTGGTGTTCGTTTCGAAGTTTGCTCTCCCACCGATCACGATGAGTGTATAAGAGTATGGCATCACGGGCGCTAGATTGACGCCATGTTGATATTTTCATTCATCTTTTGTTGTAACTTTGCCGTGGGTTCTCTGTTTTCCAGCCATGTGGCAGGCAAAATGGCGGACCGCACGATCGTGGTTCCTTGCTATATGTTCTTGGTAGCTTGTAGTAGGGAGTTCATATATTATGTTTGCATATTATATGGTAGGCTTGCCTAAATTCTCTTTCTTTTCAGCGAATTTGTGGTAAGTCGTTGTTGAGTAATTTTGATAGTGTTCGTTTCGTATCACTCAACTTTACTCTATCACTAGTATGTACACGCAGGGGTGGCTAGCCTTTTTTCTGCTTTGCATTGTATGTTTAGTATTTAAATGGCTGTAGCTTGTAACATTTATATATCGCCCGTGCGGGTTATTCTTGCTATTACTTGTGTTTATGTGTTTGCTGCTTCACAGTTCCTGCTAGTAACACTGGCGTGGTTCTGTTTGTTGCAGTTTAAGCCCTGTGCGTTGTGCCGTGCACACTACCGCCACAGGATGTGCCTCCGGTGTTTAGCCGAGGACGCTCACGACGATCACGTATGCTCATAATAAACGCCCTTGCGTCAATATTCCTGTTACATTATGTTGTATTATGATACATATTTCATACGTTTACACACAACGTGGCTCATAGGCTGAGGTTGTGTTTTTTTTTGTCTGGGTTTCTGCGCCTCACGCGCATTCTTTCCGACACGCAGATTTTATGTTTTTTCACTAATCTGCTTCAGGCGGGGGATAATATTTGATAAAAGGTTTCTAAGGAAATCCCTTTATAGTTCCCCCGCAAACAATGTTGCTGACTTAAATATGACTCAATTTGCTACACTATTGCAGCAACATATTCTTTAACATAATGTCAAGTCGATGATTGATAGCGAGATGTCCGGGCTCCGTCAGAGGCTCGGCTCGCAAAGTGTTGATCTCGAAGGTAAGTTAACCAGGTGTCGTCTGTGGTGAAATCCCCGATTGACACGGTGCTGTCTGGGTTCCACAATGAGCTCAGCACGCCTGTCGTCGGGGGTGGATCGGACGCATCTGGGGGGGTTGGCTGCGGCCCGAGCTCTGGCTCGGAGAACGCGCCTCCTCCCAGGCAGCTTGATCCTGGCTTCGGCTCAGGTGATGGTGTGCCTTCGGCCCCTTGTGGCGACTTAGCTTTGGGCTCAGGTTCGTCAAGGGCGCCTGGCGCCGGCGATGCAGGTTTCACCCTGTCTTCGCCTGGTGCCCTGACTGGCGGTCACCTAGGCGCCGACCAGCTCGGGGACACCTCGGCGCCTTCGGCACCTTGTGGCGACCTGGCTTCGGGCTCAGGTTCGTCACAGGTGCCTGGCGCCGGCGATGCAGGTTTCACCCTGTCTTTGCCTGGTGCCCTGACTGGCGGTCACCTAGGCGCCGACCAGCTCGGGGACACCTCGGCGCCAAGTGGTCAGTCGGGGTTGCCCGGGAAACCTGTATATCGGCAGGTTCCTCTCGGGCGCCCCGGTCTGGGTTCCACTGAGCTGCCGATCACCTCGGCGCTCCTAGGTCTACCTGTGTCCACCAGGGGAAACCTGCATTGCCAGGCTACTCCCTTGTGTCTCGGGACTGCAGATCGGACTAGCACCGACCTGGGCTTCGGCCCCGGTACGGAGCAGATCCCCGGCGCTGTTAGCTCAGGTCTCGGCCTGATGTCTATCGATGCCCTGGCCAAGAGGCCGTTGAGTGTGACGAACTGCCGATCGCCTCGACGCGCCGAGATCTACCCGTGTACACCAGGGGAGCCCTGCATTGTTAGGCTACTCCCATGTGTTTTGGGATCGGGGTTCGAACTCGAACCGCCGACCCGAGCACTTACGTATATATATATATATCTGTGTATATATATATATATACACATACATGTGTATGTATGGGTATTTATATAGAGCTATAGGCTATGTTTGACTATATGCTTAGTGCGCTTTTGGAGAGTACTTGGGGAAACCTGATTTATCAGGCTACTCCTACGTGTCTCGGGATCGGGGTTCGGTCTAGAACAGCTGAGCTTCGGCTCTGCAGATTCTCTGAACCCCGTGGGTAGCACCGACCCAGGCTTCGGCACTGGTAGGGTGCAGATTCCCGGCGCCGGTAGTTCAGGTCTCGGCCTGATGTCTATCGACGTCTTGACCACGATGCCATCGAGTGTGCCGGCTGTGACAGTCACCTCGACGCTCCGAGGTCTGTCTGAGTGCTTGTGAAACCTTGAATTGTCAGGCTTCTCACATGTGCCTCGGAATCGGGGTTCAGGCTCGTACAGTGGACAAGTCGATTTGAGCTTCGGCTCATTTCGCTACTTTGAACTTACCACTGAGTACGTTCGTCCCTGAGGCAAGTGCGAGATAGAATCGCGGCTGTGTTGCCTCAGGTGTTGTCCACGTCGAATACCCGAACCGTTGGAGTTCGCCTCCCGGAGGGAAGCCTGCTTCCAGCAAGGCATCCGGGACAAGGCCTCACACTCTCCCGTAAGTCTGCCGTTCTTTCCCCTTCACAGCTCAACGCTGTATGCTCCATCGGCGCATCTCTCAGCTCTGCTGAGGGAGCTGGTGGAAAGGGGAGAGAGTGCCGGCGGTATTTTTTCGTTGGCGACTCTGGGCGGCATCTGACGGGGGTCAACTCTCATCTGGCTAGGGACTGCATTGTAGCTGTGCCAGCCAAATGATGAGGGCGGTTATGGGCCTATACGCCCGGGACCGTTTCAAGAAATACGGAAGTCTGTTGAGCTTCTCGTTAATTCCTCAGGTGCCCAGGCATCGGCAAACGTTAAGTTGCCGACTGCTGGGGTTTACTATATTCTGCTGCATACACCGGTCGGAGCGACACACTCCAGTGTCGGCTTCCCGGGAGA